CCTGCTTTAGACCTGGCAGGATGTTGTGTGTACTCACAGCCCTTCTTTGGTGGTCCCCAGTCTAATAACTGGTAATACACTTCATCTGGATTTCCTTTTACTGAATACAGGTAGCAGGAATAGCAGTTTGGCCAAGATAAATTATTAGGCTGTAGCTTGAGCAGAGGCTGCTAATATGGCTTGCAACAAAAGTACAGGTGCTTCCTGCTTTTAGCACATCCTTGGATTCTACGGACATAAGGACAGCAAGAGGGACCAAGCATGCTGGCTTAATAGCTGGGCCAGAAAAATCTGATTTTTTTTCTCCCCATCAAGGTGCATCAGAAGCACACTAGTTGCTCAGCCTCATTCTCTCAAATTTGATTTGATTTTTGGAACAAAATTTGTGAATCCCAAATGTTTGGGGTTGGCTTTAGCTTGCAATATTTTTCTCTGTTGTTTCAGATTTCGTTTTAACTATGTGTTTGTTTGTTTCTTTATAAAGACAACTCCCGGAACTGCCGTCCAAAACTCCCTTTTTTAACGTGAACAATCCCCATCACGTGGACCTTCGTCGTCAGGGTCTTCAAGAATTCCTTGAAAAGTAAGTACCCTCATCTTGAGATGCTGGCATTTCTTAGGAGGTCATCTCTTTTCTGGTTTAACAGGGCTCATCCCTGGTATGTGAGAGCCACCTTGTGGTCGTCATCACCTGCTACACATTTGTTTTTGTTTTATTTGTGCGAAGTCTTACTTTATCACATACTTCAGCTTCATTGGTATAAACAAACCTCACCTTTCCTATTGCATTTCACTGCATCGATTAAAAATGCATTGTATTGAGGTTGAAAGTTATTGCATGGTGATGTCTACTTACAGCTTTCAGGAATTACACAAATGAGACTTCTCTTCATAGTAATGGGAATTCAGTGTCCAGGTCTCTCTAGTAAACTCTGGCTAAAATTCTGCAGGGAGATCTTCTAACACAAACATTTCCTATGGTGGCAGTTACTCTGTTTACCATACCCACCAACATAAGCAAGCTCTGGGAGCCGTGATCACCTTTACTACAGCTGCAGCTTATAGAAAATCATTCCTCTGTGAATGTGAAGGGTTGGTGTAAACTGTAATAAATGAGCAGTGAAACCTTAGCCTGACTGACTTGAGTTACAAGAGAGTACTGTTAGTTTTGGCGTCGCGTCGTTCAGTCACGCTGGTGTAGCAGTTTTACTGTCTGCAGTGGTGTGGAGAGCCTGTCGGGGTAATTTTGTTGCTTTCCCTGCCATTTTCCTAATATCCTGCAAGTGCTGCTATGAGTGCAGCTCTGTGCACAGTTGCTATGGTAGGAATTACGCACGAGTCGGTTTGCAAGCTCTCTTTAGGCACCACTTGGGTTAAAGGCATGGGAAGATGTTGACAGTAAAGACACTCCTTTTCAGTATTAACATTCTCATGAATCAGAGTTGTCTGCAGAAAGGAAGAAAGCAAATCATTTAAGTAGGCTTTGAGGCTCACGGTGAGTGGGCAGAGGAATACTTGAACCCACTGTTTTTCTAGTCTATATGTTCTGATTTTACATAGGCTTCCCTTACAGAAGAGAAAGAATTGGTCCTGGGGATACCTCTGTTGTTAGCAGTAGGCTTAACAACTGAAGGCAGGGAGAGTTAACCATGACAGGAAAAGCATTTCTGTGTGCACTTACACTTAGCATCTGTGGGCAGAAATGTAGTCAGTGAATACAACGTGAGGGCATGGAAGATGGAGAAAGGAAGGTGGAAGAGGATTAGAGGGTTTTTTTCATTACCTTGTGGGGGAGAGAGTGACTGCATTTCTATAGCTGATAATGTTGATGATCAGACATTTGTGTAGTAATTCAGGGCCCTATGTGTGCGCTATGTGACAAACGCACATGTCACATGGAGCAATGTGTTTTAAAATGAGAGTGATTTTAAAAATGGCAGACCAATCCAGTAGGGATATATAATATTTCAAGATCCAAATACTTACTATTTGTGCTTCAAAAGGCAAACCACAGTGAAATACTCTCCCAAAACATATCTTTCTCCAGTTTTGTGGATACACGTAGTTTAAATGGGTGCTGACGGGAAGACGGTGGCGCGTTGAGCATCTTGCCCTTGCCGCTGTTGCGCGAGAGCAGGCGAGGAGGCATTTGTGTCGTGAGGCGCTGACGGAAGCGTTTGAACGTAGGGTCCTTCCCTCTGCCCGGGGAAGGGGAAGAGCTGCGGGAACGTGGGGCGGGAGAGCTGGGCTGTGAGGGGCCGGCCTGGCGGTGCCGCGGGGCCGTTGCCCTCTGCTGGCCGCCATGTCACACGGGCTGCTCCTCATGGCAGGCGTGGTTTTACCGGCGGAATTGCGCTGCCCTCATGTCTTCCTGTGCCCCCGACCCCCTCTTTTATCAAAAATGTGAACCGCAGGTTATGATTTATTTCCGTGGAATTGCCTGTGTGTGACTCGGTGACAGTGCCATGTCTCGGTGCTGCGCGTGCCGCAGTTGTTGGCGGTTAACGTGAGACTGTTTCACAGCTATATATGTTGCCCAAGAGGAGGCTCATAGGTAAGATTTTACAGGTGATACAGGAGCCTGTGCTCCAGTCGGCATTTGGTACCGTATGAGAGCATCAGGATCCAGACCATATTTGAAAATGAAATGTAGGTCTTAACTGTTCCCAATTCAGCGCCGCATCCGTGGCTGTGCGGGGAGGCTACAGCAGCCGCAAGCCCTGAGTTAGGATTGCGCTGCGGTGTGGAAGGGACTGGCAGGATCCAGTTCCTGCCGCTGACCCCGGGTACCTACCTGTCACCTGCACGTGGACAGCAGCAGCAGAGCTCTCCTTTCTCCACCTATCCCCCCAGAATTAGCCTGGGGTCTGGGCAGCCTCTTCATGCCAAACACGGTACAGTGGGCATTGAACCCTCAGGAGCCTACAGCAAAGCGATGGCTTCTTGAAATCTGGATTATTTTTTTCCCCATTCTGTTTGTCTTTACCATACAAAGCAGGGTGAGAACTGCTCGTCTGGCCTGTTATTATCGCTCTAAATGATGAAGAGCTGTAAAGCTCACTTCTTGTCGGGGTATAATTTAATATTTCATTTGCATTAACAGAAGTCAGCTAGCCCATTTTCAATTATGAATTACCTTGTAAGAGTAAGGAAAATGATGCATTTTTCTTGGTAAGTATTCTGGTACTTTTGAGAATGTGTTTTAATTCACAGGAAAAGCTTATTCTTAAATTGAAGGCTAAAATCAAAGCAAACTTTTATTATTAGGTTCTGTATGACTCTCTTTGCTTTCACTTTTTTTTTTTTCCAGGTATAGCTGAGATTTGAATTACCTTTATATAAGATAATTCGTATTTGCTTATTAGAACACTAACAAAACTGATTGAAATGCTTCTTGTATTCAGTCCTGTTGCTGGAATTTTGCTTTCACTGAATACAGTTGCGTTCTAACAAATCATGTGGTTCAAGTGAAAATATCTTGGCCAATTACATTGTGCATAGTACAAAGCAGGCATGTTAATACTTAGCAGGCATTTAGTTGCTAGTTCTTTTTCTAAAGTGTATTTGTTATCGGAGTCTTAACAGTTGCTTGCTATCAGTAACATTTCCTCTGTTTAGAAAAAAAAAAAGGAGGAAACACAGTAGGTTTTGTAAAGGGAGGAAATGGAGCTTTGTTTACTGTGGGCTGAAGCCCGTGTTTGCTGGGAGCGGATGTTCAGTAGAGGGCACCACAGCACAGGCTGTGATCTGGTGTCTCTCAAGTTTTCTTTTATTTTTTTTCCTCTCTCATGATATGATGTAAATGGGCAGAGTAAATTTGTTGAAAACAAAATCAGAGTGTTAACCTTCCACACACATACAAGTGTGCATCTGTCATTGTATTAGGTTACAGTAGATACAGGAAATCTTTAGTTAGGATTAAGTTGTACTGTTCAGCCATATGTTGTTCTCCTCCAGCAGAACAGTGTATAATATACCTAATAAAATCATGTTGAAGAAAGCCAGATTTTGGACCTTGTCCAAATAAGACAAAACACGTTTTGTCTTTTTGTAAGTGCTCTTGCTGTAACATGGGGAAGGAGAAATACTTTCCAACTAGCATTCAGCATTTTCTTAAAAATTATGTTATTTCTTTTGGTTGTCAACTGACATTTTCTGCCCTCCTTTAAAGGTCTAGAGATCATGAGCATTTACGGAAAGCTTACAAACAAAGATTCACATGGGCACGAATAAAAAATGATTTTATTATCTCTAATTCAAATGTAGAGCCTTATCCTGCAGCCCCCTTAATCACATAAGGAATCATTATGCACGTGAGCAGTCTGGCTCAGAGGAGTGAGATCTCTGACACGTAATGACTACTGATACGATAAAGACTTGCAGGATTTAGCCTTTCATTCTTATTCTGGGCATGCATAGAAAGTCTGTTCTCTTAAATATGTCCAGCCAGTTTATAGGAATTAGCACTGAGAGCCATGACTCTAACACGAGCACAATTGCAGGGAGGACTGATTTACATCACTGTGACGGCAGCTTTGCATTGACACTTGCTATAATAAAGCTGTTGCTGAATCACTGCGGGTGCTACTGGCTGAATTCGTGCTGCACATAGGGCTAGCCTGTGCCAAGGCATCCGAGTGGTACTGTTATTACACACCACGTTCCCTCCTACATTATTTTTTTTTTCATTTGTACGTTATGTTTTGCAATTTTGATTTTCAGATCCTTGGAGCCAAAATGGTTATTTTCTAGCTCTACAACACCTCACACAATGAATCCCCAGAACACAGTGAAGGCCCTTGAGGGCAACTACTGTATTAGTAACATCTGGTGACAAATCATAGATATATGGTTATTTCCTTGAAACAGGAGTATTATGAACAGCAAAACATAAGGCTTATGGATAGCACAGATTTATTTTCCATGTTGATTGCTTGAAGGATGCAATTAAAAAGCAATCTGACCTGTTGGTTCAGATGGGGGGAAAGGCAAAAGTCGTCTTTTAATTAAAAGGGAAGAGAGATGTTTCAAGGGCATGACTGGGTGAAAGGTGTTCATATTGGCTTTCAAGATCCCTTTGAATGGTTTGTAAAATGCTTTGGGGTGTGTGTGTGTGTCCCCATTATGGATGTACATATGAAATTATGTAATGAATCCTTCTGTTTCTTCCCCTTGGTTTCTCTTCGTTCACTTCACCTCCAGATGGCACTATTAAGCAGAAGAGAAAATAACTGTGAAGTAACGAGCCCAGTGTAAAGTAAAATTGGAAACTGAATTATAGCTGCGGAAAGAGGACAGTAGCCTTGAGGTCCTGCTCAGCCTGCACTCTTATCACTTCTGTTTGCTGTTCCGTGCGTTAGGTTGCTGGCGAGTTAATAACGGTGCTTCGGCAGTTCAAGGTTTAGTAGAATTGCACTGGACATGAAATAAAGCTAAAATGAATTTGTGTCCAATATCATTGACATTAATGCTCATTACTTCTCTGGTGTAATGCCTCAAACCATCTAAAATCAATTTTAAAGATTACCCATTATTTTATAAGGAAAAGAAAATACATTTCAAACAGCAACAAAGCTGTAAGTATATAGCATGATCTTATGAACAATTAGTTACTTGTGTTTTCACTGTCTGGCAGGAAACTTTTGAAGGTACAGCACAGGAAAGTCTGCTGTGAAACTAAATGCCATTTGCAGAAGTTAATGCCTTAGGTTTTTCTGTGTTACTTTGCATTAGACACGAAATGTTAGATTTGCAGAAATGCACATCCCTTCATTTTGTTGCTCAAAAAGCTTGGGAAAACTAGTAGCTAGTAAACTCTAGTATGTCTGGGTTTTTTGTTGTTGTTGTTGGTTTTTTGTTGGGTTTTTTTTTCGCCTTTAAGAAGAGGAAGAGAGGGAGGAGAGAATTTGCTCCCACGACTACTTAAACTGTGAAACATGGATTTACTGTGGAATGGTATTTTTTCTCCTACTTCTTGTCATGATGTTTGTCTTGTTTGGGAGTTTATAGTTACCAAAAGTCAAGGCTGAAATCTTCTTTTTGCGGCCAGTGAATGATGGCTTTTCAGACTGTATTCCTGTAGCTACTGCTGTTGAGGTGTGTGGACTTGTGCAGGAATGATTCAAAACACTGAATTTACAACACTTGCAGTTTCCCTTAGATGACTAAGTTGGTTTTCAGCGTACTATGTATTCATACAGTGTGTCCATTGACTTTACCAATGTATACTGTGCTTGCTATGTTTATTTTTAAGTAAAGTTGTGAGAATTTGGCAGGAGTAAAAAGGC